GTTTCACAAAACACTTATAATTCCCGGAATACTGATCGTTCGTTTTTTCTGTAAAGGACAGACGGGCGTATGGACGATGCCGTATCGCTTACAACATTTAATCCATAAAATCTTGTTTGATCCACAGACAAATGCAGTTGTGATCTTCATTTACAATTAAAGTGGAAACAAAACAATATTTGAAATGTTTTTAATCTACTTACTAAATGTGATTTAAATAAAATGTTGTTCATATAAATCTTGTGATGTAACCATTTTATAGGGTATAGGTGTCGCCGACAACATGATTATACTGGACTTTACCTTCAAAATACAGTCTCTATTTCTCACATCTCGTAATGTTATCGGCTTAGATTTAAAGGGAATATTTTCATATTGCTCTGAAACGGGAAGTAGTTTCTCCACAACGTTTTAAAAGATATCTGTTCAACAAGCCCGTACGTATTCTGATATTTAAGTAAACCATCAGCAGAACACACGCAAGGTGTAGAAAGTGGACGAATAGTTTCTTTGTGTTAAAAAGGTAAAGGTATTTTTTTTATATCTGTGTTAGTATTTCATTGTTATTATTAGAATGAAATGTATGATGGGAGAAGGCTTTGTTAGAATGAGTTGTGCCTTATCCCTTGTTCTGATTAATATTGACAATATGCTTGAAGGTAAATGTATTTTTTTTTCATTGATGACTCATTGATATCTGAGGTTGCCAATGTTTTTGACGGCATTGAAAATATACTTTGTTTAAAACACAAAATGAACATGCACAGGACAATGTATCCAGTGAACTTCCAACGCATGTAGCACACACTTACGTAGCGAAATGAGTGCAACGTTACCTTAAATGTGGAAAATTATTTGAATATTTTTAACCCTTAAACAAAAGTGTAACGTCTCTGCATACTGACGAAGTATCATATCCTTAAATAATTTATGAAATGGTGATTTAAAAGAAAGATACTTTAAATACCAATATTCAATGACAAAAAATATTTATTGTCCTTTTTTCATGCAAATCAAAATTATCAAGTCTTTTAAAAAGTAACGATTAAATTATTATAGATCCGGATAAGATACCTTTAAAAAGAAAATTAACGCCGGAATCGATACAAATAATTATACAACTATTACCGATTCGTCCTTGTGGTTATAGTTCTATTGTTCGCAGGCATTGGAAACTTAATAGCCTTGTATGAGATGCGTTGCCTGGTTGACATACAAAACATGAAACGTGATCAAGGAAATTTGATTTACATAGGGCAATATTTTATTACGTATATCTTTGTAATGGTAAACAAGTAAAACAGTCAACGACAATAGCAATTATCTAAATAAATGTTATTTCGATTTAATTATCTGTTTTACACATGAACTAGCGGTCACCTGCTAGCACTTATTAATGCATGTGAAATCAAATAACTTGCACTTGACTTGGTCTACGTGCTGTATGGCCTGAGGAGGATGACGAATGCAAACAGAAAGAAACTTTAATAAAAGACTTTGTTTAAAAGATAATGTTTTACAAACTAGATTTTTCGGATTGATAAATGAAGAATACATCTGTTCGACAAAGCACAATGCCATTTCCAATATTGGCCTTCTATAGGTAGAGGCTGGGTCATTGGAGAACCGTTAATTAATGACAGGTCGGATACGACGGGGAGGGCAGGGAGAGTAGGACGCACGCTTCTCATCTCGCATTTAAACAGGGTTCATTAATTCGTGATATTCGTTCTTAGGAGGTGTCCCTGTGTTATAATGAGAGACACAGAATCTGTTTCTTCTTTTCTCAATTTTGCTAAAGGTGATTATTTCACAGATCACGAAATAATCAAAACCCATCAAATTGAATCTAACCTGAGAGTATTACAGACCAGTGATCGCCTTTTGTACAAATGTCAGCCCAATTTATCAGTAAAGCGTTTCCTTGTATCAGAAACAAACGTTTTGATGATATAACAAACCACATTTCATTCATATGAGTGCAATCGATTCAAACGCTTTAATGATGCAGCACAATTGAATAAACCGGACATCCGGGGGATGTGAAAAATACTCTCGTATGAGGAAATCTATAATTAACTGAGACATTTAGATTTAGGAATAGCAGTGTTTCGTCGATTATTTATAAACTCTTCGTTACACTCTGAATAAAAATAGAATCATAAAGAAATAGAAAGAAATAATATTTACTTTATGCATATTTCCTGTCTACTGTATCATCTTCATGATAATGGTATATACAAATGTTTAAACTTGATATGAAATATACTCAATTTGTGAAAACATCGATGATAAGAAAGAAAAGGAAGATTTTTTTTTTCATTTCATATCAAAATACTCTCATGATTTCATATTCAAGTTATTGATTTTTGTTTTGAAATAAATATTTTGATAACTAGATATAATCCTTTTTGATGATAAATCTTTTTTCTACATAAAATGAGATTGGTATTTGATAATATATTTCGTTATGAAAAATATCCCGAATGGATAATATGTATTTCGACAGAACATAATATTAAGACTTATTCAGTAAATTAGCGTTGACGAATAAATCTTTGAGAGATATTATCCAATCAGACACGATAAAATTACCCGAATGTGTTGCTGCTCAAGTCATAACGACATTATCGCGTGCCACTTCTCATCCGTGTCCATGCCATAATTATTGGATGGCATTTTGATTATTTGTAATTAGTGAGCGAATGGAAGTCTTTTCAATCCTTTTCACGTGGAACTGTTAAGTCAAGGTTGGGATTATGTAAAGATCACATGTAGGGCGCAATCGATGTTATGTGATGTTCAGTCAACCATTCCATACTTCTAACCACAGATCTGCATTATGTCTTTTTAAACACAGAAATTGCAATTAACTAAACAATTTCTAACAAACACAGTTCAATAACACTGGCTTGAAAGATGAAAGATGAAAAATGCTATCTTATTTTCTTGTATTTATGCATAGTATTGGTAAACTAGGTTATTGTCCAACAAAATCAGACAAAATGTTTGTATTTATTTAAAAATAGATATTCTCATATTTATTGCAATATGCTTTTCGTCTTTTATTGATATGATAGAAATCTATATTACCTGATACCTGAAAAGACTCCCGTTCGATACACTTATAATTAAGGCTGTTGGTACCTATATCGTGGTGATAGATGCTTTATACTCATATACTAACATCATATAGGAACTGGTAGTTGACATAGAATACTATTTGCTAATGACAATTTCTTTCTATAATGTGAAAAGTAATTAACTCTACCATAATACACACTTTTGTTTTTAATTCCATGTTGTCTGCAACAAAGGGATAGAAAATCTTACTATACTGATGTTGTTAACATGTTGATATATTTTCTTGTCTAATTTGTATATTTTGTTGAGATGAACGTTACGTTACTTACATCTGTTATGAAGAAAAAGTTGATCAATTTCTTTTTGATGTTTTGTACTTAGATATATATATATCCTATCCTCTATTGTTACACTAAATTTGTTAAAGTAATTATTCTAGCTATGTTTCATTTTTTTCAGCGGTTTGGAATTTGTATCCGACTGTGGGATAACGTTTATTTTCTTTTGAGTATACGTTAAAAGTTTTTTTCCTCCGGAAAATCATATCCTGATATCCTTGACTGATTATTTGTATTTTATCACCGTTATGTTACAAATTATATCTCTTGAGTCATACTTTCATGCACAGTTAGTAAGTCTGCATTCCATCTTCACTATCTTGTATAAGATGCATGTGAAATGTATTTTAACAAGGTCAGCTAAATACCTCTTCCATTGATACCTTGAAATAGAACGGTATCAAAGTTGTTTAAAGGAACTAAAATCATCCAAATTTCTCAAGATTTCTTAAAATAGATCAAAAGTGTCTCAATACATCAGAAATAAATTCATGACTGAACGTCATGATACTATAATTCAAGAAACAACATTAATAGCTTGTTCGGTTGTATACCTGACCCTAAGTAAATAGATTTATCCAAATCTACAAAAAAGTGAAACAAACATTTAATAATCAATAAAATGTTCTGAGCATTAATATCAAATCACATTATAGTAGAAAAAGGAATAAGTAAAATAAGTAAATAAATAAAATAAAAGACAACTTTAACTTATCAATAGAATTTGTATTGATGGAACGTTTTAGGAAATAAGAAGTTTGCATAAAAAAATCACATATTGTATTAAAAAGTATAATGATACAACACCAATTTTTATAAAGTTGTATAGAATCCAGTGACTAAATATTAATTAAATTAATAATTTGATAATATGAATTTAAGAATTTCGAAAACTGTATACATATTTTAATATACACACATATATATAAAGGAATCGAAAACTGTTGATTTATTAATATTAATCAGTTTATGGTGATATAGGTACACATATAAAGCGGCTGTCGTTATACTGTAGCTCCTCACCGTTCGAAGCGTCCGTCTTAATTAATTCTTCAACGACACAACAGCGGTCGCGTTTAGTTCTATACCTTTAAAGATCAGGAACATAACGTGTACCTCTGTTTGCTTTCTCTTTATCAAATTTCTGTTACCTGTATACTCATACAATAAAACCTTATTTGTTTACAACATAAACTAAGCGACCAATCCGCTGGCCACAAGAATGATATTTAGGTGAAAGGCAATCTGAATTGTAAACAAATTACGGTGGGTGGGCGGGTCTTTACGCTTGAACTGTCAGTCCATCATCCAACACCCCACCACCAGCCGACAGACTCCATATGTGTCGTCCTTCTAATCAATAGAGACGGTAATTGACACAAGTGAAAAGTTGTTGTTCCCTTAAAAGAGTTCAGTCTATGACAAGACAAGGTAGAGAACGGAGGTCTTATCACGAACTTAAAAAAGTATAAACAGGAATTCTATTGTTGATTATGATAAAGACTCTTTAATTTCAATAATAAGTATTACTATATATATATATTTTACTCTTCGATAAGTTTGTATTCTCAATACATTATGAGTTCGGATGATGAAAAAAGTGATGGAGCAAATGGCATGTTCATGCGAGCTGCTGATAGGTACCCACGGACACCAAAATGTGCCCGTTGTCGAAACCACGGTGTAGTATCGGCGCTGAAGGGCCACAAGCGGTACTGCCGCTGGAGAGACTGTGTGTGCGCCAAATGCACCCTAATTGCAGAGAGACAACGCGTGATGGCTGCACAGGTAGCGCTCCGGCGCCAACAAGCGCAAGAGGAAAATGAAGCTCGTGAACTTGGGATGTTGTATGGACAAAGCGGACTGCTTCAGATCAACCCCGAAACCGTCAACATGTTTCCCGAGGCCAAGCAATACTTAGACACCAGTAAGATCAGAGATGCACCTGATGATTATCCTGGTAAGTTGTGTTATTTATGATGGTCTGTAAAGGCGGGGTTCATCAGCATTGTTAGCATAGAATTAACCACTTCAGATTTCATCTGTCAATTCTTACATGTCTACTAAACGATGTTTTTTTCTTTACATATATTGTTCCCTATCATTTATATTTTGAACATATATGAAATAAAAAAAAAATAATGCGAACTGGCCTTAATGTTATAAGAACGTTGTATTTTATTTTGAGATAATATATCAATACAAATAGTATCATATCGTAATATTTAACCTACTCCAATTGAAAAAATAATATGATGATAATACGACCGGATAAAAAACAGGGCGCTAATTTGTCCGGATTAACATAATTTTTCTTCATTGAATAACATTATATTGGATTATAACAGCCAATTCGGGGAAAACATGAAATCCGTATCAAAAAAAGAAAATAAAGCAGAAAAATGTAAACATCTAAACATCAGGTTATTCTATACACACAAAAGACTCCAGTATTGGGTTGGACTTGTGATTTTACTTGCATGTCTATGGCTTTCATACCTTACTCACCTATCCTAGTAACGTTAGACACAGAGGAGATCTTAGATAGGACACGTTTATATTGTTATTGTTCGGGACGAAAGCTCGGGTGTCTCGGTTTATCCCTCTTGCTTGTAAAAACGTAATTTTTGCATTAAACTTTTTCTTCAGAATCATTAAACATGATACAGATGTCCTTTCATATATTTAAAATAAGTCATTGAAATCCTTGATAATAACTTTTTCGGAAGAAGTGCTGTGAATTCTAATTCATTCGATTATGGTGATGAAGTGTCTTAGACAGAATTCAATTTTGTTTTATGTTGATGGTTATCTAGTAATGAGATGGTGGACAGTTTCTACGTCGTTGTTGTGTTTACATTATAAATACTTTCATGATTATTGTGAAAATAATAAAACAGTCACAAAAATTACAACATTAAAAAAACTTCAGAATTTACATCCAAATGTTTACACTGTACACATTTAACTACTTCTGTAAATTCACTCTAGTGTTCTATTTTAAAGGAAGACAGCGAAAATTAGCACTGATTGATAACATAATCATGGAATTACGTAATTTCGTGAGAGAAAATCAATATTAATTTCAGAAGTGAATTGTGAGTTTTGTGTGAATTTATTAAGTATTGATTCATAAAACTGATACGATATTATGTAATTAGGGGAAAGAAAATTGCTATCAAATTAAAAGTCACTCGTAAGATTTGTGTTGATTTAAAATAAAAGAAAAATCATTATATATTAGAAATAGATTTAAACAAACTCCTAGCACGTATAGCTACACTTTATTGTGCTAATTGTTCTTAATGTTATTAACTTATTTGATATTTTGATATATTTGAATGATTGCAAAATGACTATTGATTATTTTAAATTTGTTTTCATTTATTCTAACACTATCATAGATTTCATAATTTTATCTAATATCATGGATCAAATCACATGAGGTATTATGATCAATTTCATATTGAATAATAAAAAAGAAAATGAGAAAACTAACTATACCCTTCAGAAAACTAATGTAAACGCCATGCAAGACTACAAAACTCAATCATTACTTTTATATCAGACGACCCCCCAGGATATTCCAAAAGACATTTTGAAAATGTTACAAATTTCTGGGGGAAATAGATGAATAACATATTTTATGTACAACATATATAATTGTAAACGAAAACCAATAATTGTTACCTCAACAATTTATTGTTGCATGCTAACAATACATGTACTTCCAAATGATCAGGCCGCGATGATGGGGTTCTTTAAATTTTTCAGTAAAGTGTAGCGTATTCTATTGAGTCATGTTGCCATTTCCATTGAGCTTCCGTCACAAAACTTGACGATGAAAAGAAAAAATGTTATATTAGCTAGCTATTTGTACTTCAGTTGTATCACTTGTTACTTAAAAAGTAATTGTGAAAATTGTTAAATAATACTTTGGTAGAAAAGTTTCAGATAGACAAAACCTTAGTAAAGTTACACAAAGACTGATACATACGCTGATTTATAGAAAAATGACAGTCCGAAGGACACTATGAAACCTGATACCGACGGTTTCTAACCTTATACACCCACCATACACCGAGTGCAATGTTGACATTCCTGTATCTCATTAAAGTAGAGAAATTATCACTGTTTTTCACAGTCATTCTCCAGTCAAATGGTAAATGTTTTGAACTCAATAAATGTTTCTAAACATGACTAAATACCCTAGTGTAGACAGTTTGGCTCGTTTTAAATTTCTACCTGACTAGGCTTTAGTTGTCTCAGTACTGTTATAAGCTGTGTGAGAATTTAAACCCTCTCTCTCTCTCTTGATTAAATTTGTTCGTCTTGTACAGTTTAACAGGATTGTAACGGTTTTTTCCTTCTGTGCAAATTGAATCTAAATTCATAACGGCTCAGATACCTTACATAAAAGTTTAGTCCTTATTGACTTCTATCACATCGGGGCATGGTACCTTGGATGTTCATACTGTCATTGAGAGACTGGTCAGTTTAGTGGAAACATAAGCAGGTAACTGCGTCCATTTGGTCAAAAGTAAATAGTTCACGGTCAACGTGATCATATGGATAAGTAGTCTTTCATCTACTTAACACCAGATCAGTAAGATTCTATTTCATAGTGATAAGATATTTCATTGTGCTGAAATAAGGACACATCTGCTGCTACTTGGTCAGCACGCATATCATAAACAATTTAAGTGAAATATGTATCCCAGTTAGTATCAATTTTTAATCCAATTTCTACATACAATGATACAGCTGATACGAGATTAATGATTAAATTATGTTAAGTTGCAAACAGAGATTAAATATTCTCTCTTAAACACCAATAAACTAAACAATGAACAAGTGACACATTTTATAATTCAAGCAAGCATAACTATAGAAAAAATAAAGAAACCCCTCTGATATATAATGATATATACACTACTAGATAGGATACACATATCTTAACATGTATTTATCATCTCAGGTATCAAATGGGAAAAAAGATGATTTTCTGACTCCATCAACAACAATAAAAGAAAATTAATTGATACTGAATTTTAATGTAATAGTAATCAAGTGCATATAATAAAAAAAAATATTTTTATCTTTCACAGCTTCAAAGAAACAGAAGCTTGATGATCACAGAGAGGAACTACAACCGGAAACAGTTAGACCTGACTCTCGATCTTCAACACCAGATGGCGCAGACAGTCCAAGGTCCCCCACTGAATCCGCCGGGTCTCCTGAACCATCCCCAAGGTCATGTGACCCTCCCAGTCCAAGAAGTCCCGCTTCCAAATCTGACTCTAAATCTCCGTTTGATGAGAGCACTCTCGCCCACTACGGCGGAAACAAACGTCAACCAATAGAGATGCTGTCACGTATATTTCCTCATATGAAGCGAAGCGTGCTTCAACTGATTCTTCAGGGCTGTGGCGGTGACGTTGTGCAATGTATAGAGCAAATTCTCAACAGTCATGGCGACGCAAGCGGAATGTCGTCACATTTTCCCGGAAGTCCTCTAATAACTCCTCATGGTATATCTAATCCACTCGGCTCCCCGTCTCTCAAGTCAGCATTCTCTCCCATCGCATCGTCCATAGCCAATGCCCATTCGTTAAACTCCATTCGTAACGCTTGGGGTAGCATGAGCCGAGGATTGCTTGCTATGCCTTATCCACCGGCTTTTCCTGGACTAACACTGGGTAGTAATTATTCTGCCTACAATGGACTTACAACAGACAGTACATCCAAACCATTCCCATATACAATGTACCCATGCTGTCCAACGAAACCCTTTACTGCTTCAACCAGCGACAAGTCTGGGTGCCTTGGTGAATGATTGGAAATTGATATTGCCATTTAAAACTTTAAAGAAGTCCTAAATCAAATGGCACGTTTAGGAGGCAGAGTTATGTCCCCTAGATTCGCGAATGTCTCAATGATAAGGGACATGTTGGCATGTTCGTGCCTTGAACATTTAACAAGTGATTGTCAAGGGCACCAAAAGTGTTCAGCCTTTTTATTAAAGACACAGAAAGATTTGTTCATGACATCCTACCGAAACATGAACGTTTTTCGTTATTTCACATACCGAAATCACATGTACTTTATATGTGAAAAAAGCTTTAAAGCTGACATGCAAATACATCGCAAAGACTACCGAGAACTCTTTGATATGATCGAACCTACTGAGGATTGTCGCGAAACGAATTGTACTGAAAGTTATCATGAGCATGCATAAATTAAACTGAGAAAGGGCGAACACTTGCAAACTGAAGTGATTGGGAACTGGTAAACGCAACATAACTGTCTCTCAATATGATAACACATAAAAAGCAGTGAATATCAGACATGACTAGATCTTGAACATGAACTAGATGTGTTCACAATTTATGACGTTATTTATTTTTTTTTTATTTATAAATATGTTATATGGAATTCTGAACGGGAGGCAAAATGTATCATATACGCATGTGTGGACTTGTGTTGTATAAATGTGTGTTAAATGTAATCCAAATTAAAGGAAAATGTAAATCTGTAATGAATAGTTTTGAGAATATCAAGGCAAAATATATCAAACAGGTAGCTTGAGAGATTAAGAAAACAACTTTGATTATCGTGCAATATGAGTGTTAGGTAATATGTCTTGCATCGATATTTATCAGAATAGTTTGAAAGTGTTATATAAAGTCAATCAAATATTATATTCCAGTCATGGTAACACAAAAGTTGTTGAATGGATTGTGTAAAATATTGTACTGTTTTTCCGCACATGTATGATTGTTATAAGTCACCTGTATTTATTTGATTGTAAAAAACAAATGTAGTTTGATATATTTTTCCTGATTAAATTACCGAAGAAATGCGAAAAATGATTTGTCGTTTTCATTTTTGAAAATATAAACAATATTTTTTATGGTTTTCTCTTTGAATGTTTTATTTCCAACTATGTAAGTTCATTATACACGCAAATATATCAGATATCAAAACATTTTACACCATCAATCCATGTTGATTATATAGCCAAAAATTTATCTAAATTACCCTATTAAAAAAATAGATTGTTTTGAGAAGACCATTTTTCATTTTTAGAGATACAAGCGCGAATAGCTCAAAATATCACATGCATATGGTTTGCCATTTAAGATATAAGAAAAGAAACATTCACTGAGTGTTTTGTTGGTAGACAATATGTAAATTGGGCGGAAATTGGAAAAATTTTTTTTTAAAAAAAGTTGGAAAATCTAGAATATTTCTGCAGATACATTTTGTTGTCTTTCATTTCTATCATTTTAAAATCCTGTATTAGCTTATTTGCGGGCATGTGCGGTTTCTCTTGTATTAGTAATCCCCGTTCTATGTTTTGTTTTGTTTCATAACCAATTGTCTTAATACACAGAGGAGTTTTCTATTTTCATTCTCTTTTTTAGAATCCAAATCCGTTCCTTTGGATGTCTTCGTTTATTCTTTTGTTTATGTTAACCCTCTTAACATTCTGTTTTCTATTCTCTAGTTCTGCTACGTTCTGCAACGTTCCCGTTGTTGTAAATTCAACTAAGTATCAAAATTTCCATATTATTTGCATCACGTCCTTCATAATATAGCGTTATACGCTTCGAAGTATTTATCCAATTTGCGTCCCTGTAAGGCCACTATGTTCTCTGTCAGTGAGAGGTACAGGTGCTACCTGATCCTAGTATACAACTTCCTGGAACGAAATTCATACATTTCAGGTTTATATTTACATCTGAATTCCTAAAGATGATATTGATACCTTTTTACAGTTAAAAAAATCCTCGGGGTTTGCTTTAACGTGCATGCCACGTTTAATTACCTCGATTTGTGGTACAATGCAGATTAAACACATCTATTGGGCGTGTTTTAAAATTACCATATATATGACAATTACGAAATTTATTGAATCATGGGGCTAGTGCACCTTCCATCTAGTTGTTGACATTTCTTTCGATCACTTTAAATTATTCGCAGTCGCCTCCTTGGCCTCAAAATTTAGGCCCTTACATTAGTACTATTAACGAATCCTAGAAGGATGAAACAGCTTTTTGGTGCAGTTTTTGTCCTTGTAAGGCATTACTATATCTAACTCTAAATTTGTATTAAAAGTTGCTATTCACTTGTATGTGTTTCTTTGCTTTTGTTCTTATTACAAAAGCGTGAATGCTTGAGTAGAAATGACACCGTTTGAAGCTTTCATTTGATAATTCGTGTCGTAACCTGTTGTATTACAGGGTTTTTTTCATCAATATTATTATACATCTTAGACACGTCCTGGTCAACACATGTTCATTACTACACGACATCATTAAATTACACAATCTCTTGTCACGCATAGTTCATGGTTGAGAAATATATCTAATATAATAAAATAAGTTATGTTTGTTCAGTTGATTCAGAGATCCGTTACTGATACCAGACGTCTTTTTTAAGTAAATATCCCGTTCATGTAGTATTGTGTCAAGTTTTTGTCTGCTTGTCATCTTAATGGATTCAGAAAAGGGTGGTGAGTATGTGTGTAATCTGCCTGTGCTGCATTTTTTTCAAAGTGACTATTGGACTGATTCTTTTCATAATTATTGATGATACTATTACTGCTAAAACTAGAAGTATGTATTTATTTTACATATTTTGTCTCAAATAATTCTGCATTATGCCAATACCCCTCACCGTATTCATTCACTGTCTGACTGGTCTGAACATTTGTTTCAGATAGGAAGGAGTGGGCTTTCATATGCTGTCCCTTTTGCCCAATTCCTTTTGTCAGTAAACTTGATAAAATATTCTGAAATGTAGCTTGTTATAAAAATGTAAAACAAAGTAACATTTTGTCATGATCATTAATAAGAAATTGACATGGTATGGACTACAGATAAGTAACATAATATGTTTTTCTTTTAGCACTACAAAGACAATTTTAAATGGCTGACAATAAAATCTGTTACCCATGTGAGAAATTGATATAATATTTGCTTCCTCGTTTATTTAAGTAGTTATATAATATCAATTTAACTTGTAAAGCAATTAACACCAAATTTAGATTTATATTGACATGGTGTACATATTTTATCTTTTGGAATCAAAATATATCTCATAAGATTTGATAAATGATATGTTTCGGCTTTAACTTTAATTGAAACTATGCAAATACTCAAATGTTCTAGATTGAAACCTAATTGATCGAATGCAAATATTTAAACACATTGAATAAATTTAATTGGATATGTGGGAGCTGTTTTTAAACACTATTAGTCCTGCTTTCCACGCCTGCTTTGGAAGGGCGTAAAGTAGATGAATACAGACAGTTTTCGCAGTTAAATGGAATATTGACTCAGAGCACTCGTCTGTACAGAAAGTGCTATTTCCACTGAATACCGTCTCTTAGGATTGTACTACATAAATAAAGATTTGTTATTTTCCTTCACATGTTGGCCAAAAGTACCTAATTGTATCAATGTTCTGAAACTTATATGGGACGGTATCAAATGAAATGTGTATAACAGTGTACAACAGACTGCTTCTCAACGTGTCGTTTCGTTTAAATGTTGTCTTTGTTTCATCAAAAGCCTGATAGCATACTTCAATTCTAATATCAAACTTCCATAAGTGGGCTTGAAATTCTTTGAACGATTACTGAGAGTTTTCATCATGTTACCAGAAACTATGAGATCAGTACTGCACAAAGCATTGAAGAATGGGCTGTGCTCTCTAAGGTTGCCAACTAGCCACACCAATTAAATAAAGAAAGCTGAACGAATATATTGAAATCAACTGAAGAAGGACCCCTGGTTATGTGTAAATACTCGATAGGAAAAAACTAATTATATCATTAATTTCATCTTTTTCTACTTCATTTTATATCAAATACAGCAGATGTTGATCTGTTATTTGAGTAAATCATCACTCACTCCTGAAATACGTAGAGAATAATGAATTTTTAGTTAAGGGTGCATATTTTTTTTTTAACTATTTCATATCAAAACTACAAAAAGTTTCTCAGTTATAAATTGAGATCAATGATATAATGTACCAAGTTTACATAAATTAGACACTCATCTATTAATCCCCAGTCTAGCTGCACGCATGGTACTTCGTGATTTTATTAATCTATCAACCAAATCTGTAGGTGGATTTAATGACAAATAATATCACATGTAATCATCCTTTTTAACAGATATATTCAATATTAATAAAAGAAATTTGTATATGTTGTTTACAGCTATGTCCTAAGTAGAGCAAGACCTATTGACATCAGATATCTCAATTACACAAAGCATAATGATAGTACCAGACTAAAATATTTTACATCAATAACGGTAATACGATGTATTGTGTATATCAATTTTGTACTTGATGATATAATTGACGTTATAAAATTAATTTAAAATCAAAATTATGAATTGATGGCAATAATTATTTCAATTTTAATGTTTATTAAGATTTCGAAATTGGCATTTCATGAAAGCAAATAATTTGTGGCTCTTAACTTGTTAGCAAATACTATCAACGTTAATCTTTGACCAACTTTGAGTTTCTCAATGTTATGATACAGAACATGATTTCCCGAGTCCAGATGTCGAGATACAACATGGGAATAAAAAAATCATTACAATACCACTCACGATAACTGATTTCCAAATCTGAAGTTGTTTTCTTTGACGTGTAATACTTTCATGGCATCTTCATTACCTACCGACCATTTACATATAAGTTTTATCAAGCGATGATCACAATAAAATTGCCAGAAAAACCTTTCATTATGTCTTAACCTCAGTTTGGCTATCAATATAAAAACAAACGAATCATTTCCCCTTCAAATATCATAGAGTATTGTAAA